AAATCATAATGTGTGTCATATATCCCCTGAAAATGTATTCCAATCCAGATCCCAAGTATATGTATATTACATATATATATATATATTATACTGTACTCATACATATATGTATATGTATACGAGTATGTATATTATACATATATATATATATACATATATATATATACATATATATATATACATAATTATACATATATATATATATGATAGGTATTATATATATAAACACTCACTCCACTCTCTTTTCAAAACGTTGCAGACCAATTCTGTCAGATTAAAACAATTCAAGAGATACGAAAAATGGATCTTAAATGGTAACCTTACCATTTCATGGCGCAATACCCATCTTCTGGCCACACCCAAGAAGATGAATATGCCCTATGCTCCTTGGGGCCCCCGCCACCCCGGGGAACCCCCCAAGCACGCAGCATAAAGATCCAGCAAAAAGCTGAAAAAACAAAGCGCCCCCCCCCCTAAAAGGGCCCATTTTTCGACTTCACGTGTTTGATTCCACGACCCCCAGCCCTACGACTGAAAGGCGTGTGCTCAAGCGATGGCACAGTATTATGCCACTTTGCAAAAACATTGTGAAACGGGAGCAACAGTTTTTTAGGAATTTGAATATCGGACAGCATAGACAGGCCTGAATTTAAATAAATTTTTGCTGTCTTCACAGCCGTCCACCGGCCAGCCAACAAAACACGATCTAGTGAGCCACATTTGGTGAATAAAAAGGTGGCACCACCTCTTCGCAAAGAATACGGGCGAAATTCCCATGGCATTAACTGAAGCCCTTCAAGACATTCATTAAATAATGATCGCCAGGCATGAGGTTTGCAGGTAAGGAAATCATGTGGTTCTACAGAGCGCTTCCACAACCACAACCAACGCAGAACAGAGCGCTCAGTTATGGTGATGCTTTCAGCAGCACCCTGCCGTTTTCCAGCCTTTGTTAAACCCAGGCTGATGACGGCTGGACAACTTGCCCCAGTGATATTGACCTGCCATGCCTGAATGCCTAAAAGTTCTCCAGTTCTTAAAAGACCATGGAACCCTACCAGTAGGCTTAGAGCAAATTCATAATGCTCGTGCATAACTGACCATCCTACCATTGCAGTAAGGACAGATTCACTCATTGGTGGGGCCCGCTGAGGTATTTCATTGGCGTTCCATGTTCGAAGAAGGCGCCATGCCCCTGGGAGACAACCCCGAAGTTTGGGATCCGTATCTTGCAGAGATGCCAGGACATTGCTAGCTTCTGCTCTCCCCTCGCCTTCACTCCACAAGTATTCAATGTAGTCACTTACCAGAGGATCAATGGCGTCACGTGCCTTTGGGAGAGTAAGATTCTCCCTTGTGAGGTACTTGAGAAAGCGGTCAAGGGCACCTGCATAGCGTTCTCTGGTTTTAGGTTGGACAGTAAGATTTTTCAAGCTTCCTAGGGATTTGCGAACCTTCTTTCTTTCCTCCTTGCTAAGGCCACTATGGCTTTTCACTTTTGCTTTACCCATCGTTTTTTCACCCCCCAGCGCGACGGTCTGTCGGCTGGGTTCTGATGAGTATCCACGTACCCCCAAAGGGGTTGCAGGCCTGTAGCAAGAAGAAGGGATCCGATTCGCATAATTGTCCTACGAAGCTTTCGAGATGACGACCTGCCTCTGGATAAGCAGTGCAAAACAACCAAACTGTCCACCAGATGAACACATCTCACATCTACCTGTTGCCGTTGTTCTGCTCTCCATTTCAAAGTAGTGAGAACTGCCCTTGCCTCCAGGACATTGATATGTTCTGGACTACCAACCCATTTCCAGCCAGCAATGACTTTCCAACGCCAGAGTTTTGCGGGAATACTTGCCCTAAGTCGATGGTAGCGCACAGGGACCTCTGAGGCATTCTGTACCATGATGTCCTCCCCCTTCACGGAGGCTAGTCCGGCCATCTTGCGTACTAAACGTTCACTCAAAGGAAATGTGGAGGTGGAGTGATTAAACGGGGGTCTCATCAGCAAGCTTGGGAGGTTCCCTCCCTTTCCTGGTGTGAGACGCGTAACCAGGCTAGCCAATGAGACAGGCTCAACCAGTCCCAGGAAACTCAACAATTGGCCCAAGAGCCAGGCCACCACCCCTACGCTCCAGCTATTGCCTAGAAGGGTCAGACGGCAATCTCGGTGCTCTGTGGAGTCGTGGTGCGCCTTCTTCATGCACTGCTTGGTATAGTCCACTGGGAACCCTAGAATGGCCTCCCGCTCGCGCACATTGGGAGGTCTGACCTCCCCTTGATGAAGAATACAATGCGAATCTTTGTATTGGTAAGGGGGGAAGCGGTATTGGTCTTTTTGCCATCTTTGAACTTCATGGGGAAGACAGTCTTGGAGGCCAGCGGGTTTTCGCTTGGGCTTCAGTGAAGGACGTGACGTAGTGAAGGTTGGGAGGCTTTGTCCAAGGAGACTCGCGCCGGGTTCCAGGAAGTCCCTGGGGTCCACTGGCGCTAATAGCTGGACCTCCCCTTGCACTGGGAGTCGTCCATCACTCCCTTCCAGGATTGTGACACCTTCGCCTGGGGTAAGTTCCCAGTCTATCCAGTAAAGGCGGGGACGACGTGCTAGGCCTATCCCAATCGCATCAATGTACCAGGGTGCCAAGCCAAAGCCCTGGTTCATGGTCTCACAGTCTTGAGCATCCATCGACGCCACATTTTCGGTAAGGTTCTTCACCTGTGCCCAAGGGAACTTGCGCTTCCAACTCCACAACCCGAGGAACGTGGCTGAACAGGGAGCTCCTAGCGTCCTTCAAAGCTCCTCGCCTGTCGGCGTTAAGCCCCGAAACGCCTTGGCACGGGGGCCCTGACCCCACCAAGACAAGACCAGCGTTGCTATACCTCAGGCTCCAAGCTTGGACCATCTCTTCCGTGACATCTTCAACATTGTTCACAAGCACTGAGTCAGGGAAGTTGGCTTCGATGACCCGATGCGCTTCAGGATTGCACTCCACTGAGATGTGCCCAGCCATGGGTGCTTGGAGTAGATCCAAGGCAACTCTCAAAGCTCCAATGCCATCAAAGAGGCCCACCGAGAGGACCTGACACAGATCATGCTGCTCAGGTATGTCACCCCTCACATGGCTAAGCGCGGCTACTCCACCATAGGGAGTCAACCCTTTGGAAATGCAGAAGCCCCCACCGCCTTGAGAGGCGTCGCTGGCACTAACTATGTCATCGAACTTCACCCTGAAATCACTGAAGGCAAGGGGGATGAGGCCCACGAACCTGGCCAGTTCTGCCATGACCTCCCGTGCCAGGGGGACCTTTCGGCCCTTTGGGAGATCATCCAAGGCCACAATGGCCCGCCACACCTGATTCAGAGCACCCAATAAAGGGCGTTTGAACATGGCTGCATACACCAAGCCGCCGCAAACTACCTGAAGTTCCTTCTGACTCGCGGCACCATGGCGCAAGAGCTCCAGGGTAAGCTTCACATACTTTGCAATCTTGGCTGGCTTTGCACTCATGGTGCCTCGGTCTCCATCAATCCAGGCGCCTTGAACTTCAGCGCAAACCTCTTGCTCAACCGTCTTTTTTGGGTGCGTTGGGAGGCCACAAGCTGCATATGCCTCCCTTAACTGCACTGCTACATTTGAGGGGCCCCCCTGAATGAGCTCATAGGTACGCCTATCCAGTTTTTTCAGTTCATCGAAATTGTCAAGATATACTCTATAAAGCTCGGCCTTGTGGCTAAAGGGCCTGTCCCGCCGAAGTTCACCCTCTCCTCCAATAGGAGGGTTCATGCTGCCCATACTCCGTCGTACCACATTCCGGTGGCAATGTTGCGCTATGGCAACGGAGTTTAAGAACCCCATAGGTAAAACCCTACTACAAAGTACCCATTCGTCATCTACTTCTCCATCAGGAACCAGACTCCGAGGCAAGATCTTGCCAAACCCCATAAACTTGTGCCAGGCCTCAGGAACAGCAAATAAGTAGAAATAGCATCGCAAGTCCTCGGAGGATATGGTGAGCAGCTCTCCATCATCCAAATAGAGGGAAGATAACTGGGTAACCATAGGTAAAGTGCAGGTGTCACCTTCCAAAGGTCGTGTAAGGGAGTTCAGTGGCTTCAAATTCATGATGAGCCTGCATAGCTCAACAGACCCGCAAAATTCATCTTTGCTTACCGAAAAAAGGCCATTGAGTAGAGGAACTTTGCCTACATGATGAAGCTCTGACAACTTGCGTCGGACACAGAGGCCCCTCTCCAACAACCCACGTGCCAGGGTCTCCCAAGCGGGGTCTTCAACAAAAACACGGGGGGGTTTTCCAATCACCTGGTCGCAAACAGGAAATAGAAACTCCTCAAAGTGGTTGACATAGTGAAGAACTCCTCCATTACAAAACTCCCTAAGGTCCAGCAAACCAACTTGTTGGGGTAAAGAGGGTTCAATGCTTTCCCAAACCACATCACGCGCCAAACGGATCTCCTCCCCTTGATAGTCAACCCCCCTTACTGAAAAGAACTGGGAGAAGTTCCAATCCCCCAAAGGCTCATCTAGGATCCCTGAAGCGCACACGATCCCCTGAAGCCTTTTCATCACCCGTAAAGAGGACGGTCGGCCTCGACTGGAGCTAGGCACACCATGCATGCTGTTGAGGCAGGCAGCCAAAAGTCTCAGGGATTCAGATCCAGGCCGCGTCACCATGGGATGTCCTGAGACAGGAAGCGGAAAGATAGACTTTCCACCTGCCGTGGGCCTGGGTCTGCAACAACCTTGATCCTCAAGTTCATTCAGGACATCCCACAGCAAGCCACCCAAGTCTCGAAGAGCGCACCCCTTAGAATGCGCTGTCAAAAAATCATCTACCATCTGCCGGACTCTGCCCCTCTGTGCTTGGGAGAAGGCCACATCGGGAATCCTCCTCCCCTGTTGCTCCATCAATGAATTCAAAGTTGATGATTGGGAGTCGCCGAAGGTTTCATGGGCTTCACTCCCTTGCATTAATTCAGCGTCTCGTTGGGCACATAAAAGTAGATCCTCAACGTCTTCGCTGGTGATACAATTTGCCACTGCATGCCACTTCGATTCTTCTCTACCACCTTGAATGCCACCAGTTTCATCTGCCACTCCAATGCCACACGAGCCCACCATATCAGCCTCATCCAAGCCATCCTCAGCCTTACGCTTGCTACTGGGAAAGTTCGCCTCTGGGAGGGTTGCCTCACCTCCCTTCTTGCTATTTTCGACTGGCATTCTTGCCATCATCCTTTCCTCTGGCATCTCCTCCTTTCGACTTTCCTCCCTCATCAGGCTTACCTTTCCCAGCAGCTTTCCCTTTGCGGTTCTTTCCTCCGAAGCCACCATCACTACCTTTGCTTGTCGGCGCCCTGCTCAGCAATCCTTTCAGGCGCTCTTCTTCCCTGGCTCTTTTCGCAGCTCCTAAGGCTTCGTTGCCCTCGGCGATGGAGTAGGGATCACTGCGCACCAATTCGAGTTGTCTCCCTGTCGCCCAATGGGATCCCTTTGCCAGGGCCTCTAAAGATTTCAAACGCTGACAAACCATGTCAGCTGACCCTGCAATCTTCCCCTGAAGGAGGTAGTCCAGCACCTGTGAAAGGGTGAGAATCTCCTGCACCAATGCCGGGGATACTCCATGGGGCTGGATCACCTGCTGTCGGAAGAATTGCGTAAAAATGGGAGGCAACTCTGATTGGTTAATGTTCCACAAGGTCCCAGTCTGACTCATTAACCCCTGTCTTGCCTCCCTTATAGCAGCTGCAGTAAGTGCTCCCGGGCACTTCTTCCAGATGCGGTGAAGCTTTGTGTTCTCTCCGAAAAGGCCAGAGTCATCATCGCCACCTGAACTGCTTGACGTAGAAGTCGAGGATGATGAGGTGACCTCAGAGCTGGAAGAACTTTTCTTCTTCCTCTTCTTCTTCCCTTTGCCCAACCTTTTCGCCTTCTTCAAGACTTTCTTGCGGCAGTCAGGGTTGGGGTCAAGTCCTGTCGACCCGAAAACATCCTCCAGCGCCTTCTGCCCCACTTCTAGTCCTCCTTGGGGCGCCTTGGGAGGTCCATCAACCCTCCCCTCTTCAACCTTTTTCTCCTCTGCTCTCTTCCTCTTCTTCTCCTTTTTAGAAGGCTTCTTTTCAGCGCGCCTGTCATCTCCCCGAGCCTTTGCATGCAGCTCACGAAGTTTAGCCAGCTCATCAACTCCTGGTTCTTCTTGAGCGGGCCTGGCCTCCTCAAGGTTCGTAAGCCAAGGCAAGCGGTTTAAGTTGACCTCTTCAAAGCTGCGACCATGGACCAAGAGTGGATCTGTCAAAGTGCCTGCACATCCATCAGTGCAGATGTGCACAGACAGCTTCTTGTCTCGCACCCCACTCAGCACCCGTAGGAGCTCATCATCTTTGGTCCCAGTCGCTTCCAGCATCGCAAAGAGCTCATCATCCTCCATGCGGGTCCCGGCAACTCTTCCGGCCACTTGCACCAACCTGCCATAATAGCGAGCGTCCCCAAGGCAGATAGTTTTCAACTGCTTGAGCTGCTGCAGTGTCAAGCTCGACAAGGCCTTCTCTTTTGGCTCCTCAGCTTCCTCCTCGGCGTCTTCTCCCCGCCTAGCAGGCCGCCTCAGGACCGCGGCTTGCCCGGCAGGCCTCCTCATTGGGGCCCTTCTTTTGGGAGGCATCCTCCCCTATCGTCTCCTCTTTCTATCGTTGAACCGCTGTTGCTTGGCTCGGCGCACCAATCCTTTGTTTGTCCCACAGGTCCACCTAGGGTGTGTGGTCACTGGTAAAGGGCCGAGCTGGTTCAGGCGGCCTCTCACCACCTCCACCCTGGTAGTGCGGGGGTGGGTGCTCTGGCTCAGGAGGTCGCTGCTTTCTTTCTCTTCGATCCCGGTGTCCTTCTCGATCCAAATTGGGAGAGCGGTGCCCTCCCCTACGGCTTCTCTCGGATCTCCTGCTGCGCCGGTGGCTCCGGTCTCGCCTGCTCCTGCTGCGGCGCTTGGTTTTGTGATGGTCTCTCGGCTTGGACCTGTGACTGCGCCTGCTTCTGCTTGGTCCTCGGGCAGATGAGGCAGGCTCAGCAGGTGGCGGCTCTTGATGCTCCTCGGTGGGCTTCTCCTTTGGGCTTGGTGGCTCTGACTTGGCGGCTTCTGGGGCAGGCGCAGGAGGTTGCAAGGTTTTGGGAGGCTCAACTGGCCTTCCCTTGGCGGTGGTCTGTAGGAGGCTTTCCGCTGCGGTGGCTGGCTCACTGGGAGGCGGGGCAGTGGCAGTACCCTCGCCCTCCCTTTTTCCACCCGCTGAAGGTTCCCCCGCAGCTGGTGCTGGCACACCTCCCTGGAAGAGGCTGGCTGGTGCCCCGCGACGCTGCAGCTCGTCACGAACCTCAGCCTCTAGGAGTCGCACCTTATCAGCAGCCCAAGGAACGAAACCAGGTGCGTTCGATCCCGCTGCAACGAGGGCAAACAAGCGGGGGAATGCAGTACAGAGGCCACACGCACAGGGTGCAGCGTGGCCCCACATACCCTGACTATCCTTGAAGCCAGAGCTACATTTGAAACTAACGTGGATTCATGTTTATCCCTGTGAACATAAGGACATATCATATAATATATATATATATATGTATATATAATCCTGTTATATCCACATTTTGGTCACCAACTTTCTTTGGCTTCGTTGTAATTTCTGATCTGCCGCTGGTCACCTGTGCTCAAAGAGCAGGTTGCCTCTCCGGATGGCGTCCAAATGTTGTCCTATCCGCCTTTTTGGCTCAGCGCCAACGTTACGTTGAAATCCTGGCCGTTGATCCAGTAAAATGACATATACTAATAATATACTATATATATATATTATATATACTATATATAATTAACTATATGTAACTATACATAACTATACATAACTATATATAACTATATATAACTATATATATAACTATATATAACTATATATATAACTATATATATAACTATATATATATAACTATATATAACTATATATATAGATATATATAACTATATATAACTATATAATAACTATATAATAACTATATAATAACTATATAATAACTATATATATATATAACTAAGTAGGGGTGTACCCAATAATAAACCTTTCTTGGGGATTGCTTATTATTGGTTTACCTCATTCTATATCTATCTATATATATATATACATATATATATATATGTTATAGATACATGTAAACCCATCAGACATGTAGAGGTGTTTTCGTGGAAAACCGTGGTTGTTTTTCCATATCTTAATTTACTGCAGGGTTTTTGTCCCCAACAAAATATGGTGGCAGGTGATACAATGGGATGTCAGGAGATATAAAGGGGGATCACCATGAAAAAACAATAAACATCCATCTGGGTAAATTATAATAATTCACTAACCTGAATGGTTCGGCCATTTGGAGATAATTTCCCTTATTATCCATAGTTCCAGGGCGCGGGAGAACAGTGAGGTCGCAACATAATTTACCATTCGTATTTGGGCGACTTTCGAAGCCAGGGGATTCTGGACCGGGGCAGCCATACCTGCTGAGATTTGGGGATCGATTTCATGTTGACTAAGAAGCCGTGGATCATTAATTAGGGGGGGGTACTCCCTAAATAGCTATAATTGCTATAATCGAATATTTAAATGGTACCCCCCCAATTAAAAAAGCCTAGGGGTTTATTAATCCAGGGTTGACATGAAATGACATGAATGGTTTCACCATGGGCATTGCTTCCAGACTGAAAACTGGTGAATCAAAAGTCGAAGCTTCGCTATTTCACCGACACGAATGGGGACATGCAGCGACTTTTCCAACTTCTCCAGGGTCACAACTGAGTGCCGCACTGTTTTTGATTGAACCACTAAATGTTAATAAATATGTCATGAGTATCCCATACTTTTCCAATGAACCATGATTATCCAGCCCAATATCTCATAGTTGTCATAGCACATCTCGCTTGAAGGGCACCTTGTGGAAGATTAAAAAAAAAACATGCTGGGTATCTTTTGTTTTGGAATCCTCTGCGGGCTTTCACACTTTGCAAAATTCAGCAAGAGTAACTTCTGTCCAAGTCTTGTTCTTCCACCCCCTTTTCCAAGTGGTGCAGCCATCCAAAGTGGTGCCCCCAAGGCATAAATTGCTGCATCATAAGCCCAACCAATCAAACCAACTTAGCTATCTATGAGGCACAAATCTTTGTGGCAGTTGATTGGTCTTACCATTGGTAAAAAACCTCAGCTATCGAGGGGTCATCTCAGTAGATCATCTGCGAAGTACATCTACCTCTTCGCAAAGTCTGCTTCAGTCTAATCATATCTGGTTGGTGGTTTCAACCCCTCTGAAAAATATGACTTCGTCAATGGGAAGGATGACAACCCATATATGAAATGGAAAATAAAAAATGTTCCAAACCACCAACCAGATATAATTTTAAGGCTCCCTTGGCAGATGGCAATGGGTCAAAACCCTGCGAAAAAAACCGCCTTGAAAAACAGCTGAATTTTCTATGGACCTTCATCCCCCGAAACAGCAGCGTCAGCGGTTTTGCAAAATCCCTTTAACTTACAACGCACCAAGTCTTATTGGTAAAAAAAACATGTCTTTCCTCAGTGAATCCCACTTTTTCTTTGGGATTTTGAAGCTCGACACACCAGTCTAACGCAGCTCTGCGGCTTGAAATCTATACGCTGTACGACATGGGATCCTGGATGGGAACCTCAGGTCTGGTTGAAACTGCTCCGAAAAAGATCGGAGAAAGCTATAGCTGGTTGGTTAATGATTATCTATGGTTAATGGTTGATGATTATCTATGGTTAATGGTTAGAAAGTATCTATCTGGTTGGTGGTTGACCTGACCTACCCATCTTGGGAAGATATTCTCATCAAATCCCATGAAATTCCCATGAAATCCTCATTTCTTGATGGTTTCAATCCCATATGGCCCATATCCCAACTGGCTGGTGGTTTCAACCTACCCCTCTGAAAAATGATGGAGTTAGTTCGTCAGTTGGGATGATGACATTCCAAATATGATGGGAAAGTCATAAAATTCCATGGTTCCAAACCACCAACCAGCAAAAAGGTGAGCTGCCAGCTTAGAGTACCAGCTTGACTGAATGTGTCAATCATTGAATATCCCAAAAGAAAACGGGAAAAATCATCGTGATCGGCCAAACAAAGAAAGGTGCCGTCCCATTATTGAGCCCTGTAAGATGGGTGTTTCTCAAGCCGCGCCTGAGAGATTGGTTGGTTTGGCGAAACATGCATCTACCCTGGAACTGACCACGCAAATAGACAAAAATTCAACTCGAAAACTGTGCAGGAACTGAAACATGTTGGGAAATGGCACTTCCATCCTGTTCCATCTGTGTTGCATTGAGTAACCTACCCTTCCCGTAGCATGAGCCATACCACGACCACCGGATGAGTCAAGGTGCCACTTCAGATGGAGTTTCAGCCTAGGCATCAGGACGGTTCAAAAAATCATCCTGGTGGAGCTCTCATACCCTGCAAGACAATGTATGTATATATATATATATTATATTATATTATCTTAATTTTTCGGAAGCCTGGAAACTATGAGGTAAAGGTCATCTACTTTCTGGTAAACTTACAGTTTGCTATAGAAAACCACCATGCTTTTAAGTTCGGTAAACCATCGAACTAAATGGACCATGTTCCATGGCTATGTTAAATAACCAAAGGGTATATTACGGGTATATATATATAATTATATATATATATGTGTTTTTTTAATGCCATCAAAATGAGAAAAAAAAATGGAAAAAGTATGAGTACTATGAAACCATTCTGAAACACCCTTCACATGCCTTCACCAGTTGGTAAACACCCATCTTCTCACTATTCCTATGTATCTTGACAAGTTACAACAAGAAATCCTTAAATTGAAAAACAGAAACGATTTGTGGGCTGATGCCCCCTACGTACCATCATCTCGTTTGAGGATGTTTGAGTTCGTTGTGAGTCCCATGGTCACTCTCATTTCCCCAAACCATCTCAGACCCATCGAACCACGTAATAATCCCAATCCTGAGCCAATCATCTCCCTAAGCTTATTGCTGCTCTGAAACCCTTAATATCAGTACTATAATGAATTAAACCATAGTTACTGCCATAGTTCACCATCATTTTCCCATCCTTTTCCCATGAAGTCCGCAGCTTCACGCTGGGCGCCACGGGACCGTTTGCGCGGGCGCGGGCAGCGCGGGCAGCGCCGGCAGCGGGGGACCCGGCTCTCGGGGAAAGGCGGGGAAGATCTCCTGGGATTCGAGCTTCATTTATCATTGATTGATATCTGGTTGGTTAATGATTATCTATGGTTAATGGTTGATGATTATCTATGGTTAATGGTTAGAAAGTATCTATCTGGTTGGTGGGAGAAACCTACCCATCTTGGGAAGATATTCCCATCAAATCCCATGAAATTCCCATTAATGGTGTTTAATGGTGATTTAATGATGGTTAATGATGATTAATGATGGTTAATAACTGGTTGGTGATTGACCTACCCCTCTGAAAAATGATGGAGTTAGTTCGTCAGTTGGGATGATGACATTCCATTCCCAATATGATAGGGGAAAATACAAAAAAAATGTTCCAAACCAGCAACCAGAATCACGGAGGTTTCCATAAATGGTTTCCATCAATGGGATATTCATGCGATATTCATGGACCATGGGTTGATTCATGGGGATTTAAGCAGCCAATGGTGAACAAATGCTGATCAAATGGTGATGTATGCGGCAAACATATTGGGTGTATAAAATCATAAGAATAGTGGGATACAATAATGATAATATATATATATATTTATATATAATATGGGATATACCCTGCAGTAATTTCTTTCGTGACTATTAGCATAGATGGCCTTTTTCCATAGAAAATCGTTGGATTGAAGGCAAGCCTAATTTACAATGGGTGAATAAATGTGAATAATACAGTAGAGGGATTCTCAGTTCATGAGCCATGAGTGAATGATGATTGGTAATCATCAACCACCTGTTTTAACACTGATCACACAGGTTTGTCGGAGAATATTGGGTAAAAACATCTGTATATCTCAGAGTTTATCACAAGTTTCCACATTATTCGGTTGCCAGTTGCGGATATCTCCCCCATTCTTCGACATACCTTGGTGATTTCGAAGGTCGGAGTGGTGGGATTCCGCCACTGGGAGTGGTTCATCCCCGCAAAATGTGGACCCATGGGCTGAAGGACCCATCCTAACACAATAAGTTTGGCTGGTTTAAGATAATATCGGTTGAATCTGCATCTTTGTTGGCTAAAACTTATGAATGTATGTATGTATGTATGTGATTGTATGTGTGTGTGTGTTGATTTAATTGGGAAACGCCACTGTTTATTGACAATGGTCCATGGCTCATATGGCTGGTAAGATTCTTTGGGTAATTTGGGATT